AAGTTTGATTCTATATCCAAAGAGTCTTTTTACAACTATTCCAAGAAACATTAAACTTGGATTACACCCTTTCATCTCTCACCACCTGGTATAAAGCTTCATCATTGCACTGGCTTCTTAGGTGAAACCCTGCCCCTAATGTATATGGGTTTGGCTGCTTTTATATTACAGTGAGGTACGTATCAGGCCTTTGGAATGCAAGATTAAACTCTTGAATATAAAGGAATATTGTGGCCCCCCTCCTTAAAATTATTGTCTTGGGTCTACTTGCCAACTTCTGCCCATAATGTTGTAGCATCTGCTCCATCCTATGAATTAATTAGGTAAGTGGGATTTGGTATGAGAGAAACAGCAAGAAAATTTTCAGGTGTCTAACTGATTTTTCTATACTCCTGGGATGGTGCCAATTCAATGTCAAATAGGCCCACAGTCACCAAATTACAGATCCCCCTAATAGTCATAAATAGCACTGATTCCCTTGCCTCATTTTGAATATTTCAGACTATTTCTTTCTGGGATGTAATAGGCCAATAGAGTTAACTGAGAGTTCACAGACTGAGAACTGGAAGAGGTCCAATCCCCCCTTTTACAAGTAAGGAAATCAAGGCCCAGAAAAGTTGTGAACTTCTCCTAGGTCACACAAGTAATATGCAGAAGATTAGGATTCAAACCCCCAGTCTTCTGATTCAAGATCCACCATCCTTTCCAGTGCACCATGCTGACTGAATTGCATATAGTAAGGAAACAATTTTTATATCTTTCTGATATATTATGGTTCTAGCTTGTGATGATGAAGAAATAACAAACATTGCTTACGTGAATACAAATTATTTGTTAACATATGTTATGTGATTTTGGTGTTGAAAGTGCTCTCTGGTATGTAGAAAGAAACAAAATAAATACCAAGCAAGATTACAGTCAAGGAACACCAATCAGTCAAGATCAAATGGAATATAAGTTGGTACAAAGAGAGGTAGTACACTGAGGACACAGTAAGGTCCTAGCATTGTCTAAAGAATAGCAAAAATATCGATGAGACTCCGGTCTTCTTCAAATGAAATTAGCAAAACCTGAGATATGAATAATTATATTACTAAAAGGTAGAAAGATGGCAGTGGTGATATATTCATGATTTATAGGCATACTGGCAAAATGGTAGAACGTGGAAAAAAAAGATTAAATTAGAAAATTGAAGAGACTCACTTTTTTCCTAGGAGAAAAAATGAGATGGAACATGCACTAAATTAAGTGTAAGTCTGTGGTATTTTCCTTTTTATAAGAAAAGAAGCAAATTGTTCCATCCAAGTACCACTGAATCAAATTTGGACTTCCTAAAAATTTATCAGTTGATAAACCAGGATTTAAGTTCAAGGATACATTCCATTCCTAACCCTCATCTTTTTTTTCCTTTACAACGTTTGGAAATAAATTTTCTTTAGCACTGCAATTCCTCAAACATAGCCTTTTAGTGCAAAACAAATAGTTTAGAAACAAGAAAATTAGCCAAATTCTTCCTGGGCCTTGAAAGGAAGGTAAGAATTTTGGAAAACCATCTTAACTCTTTCTGACCACCGGTATAGCAGTTAAGGCCCTAACAGTTACCGTAAAATTATTATCCTAGGAGGTACAAATAAAATCACCAGGCATTTGAATAGAATAATTTGCTTCTTTTCTCATAAGAACAAAAAACAATCCAAACTTATGCTTAATTTAGTGCATACTCTATCTCATTCTTATGCCAAGAAAAAGTTACTTTCTGAGTTAAAGTGACTTTTTTCTCTCTGGTAATATGTGTATTCCGAAAGAATCTAGTACATTAAGCACTTAAAAAAACTTGAAGTTCACCTGATTTATTCAATAGGGTCTCCCTTTTTCCATTTTTGAGTCAAAAGGGATACCAAAAAAATACAAAAACAGAAAATTTTCAGTGCCTCTGGATTTTTCAATGTCTAAAGATTTCCAGTCTTTCACAATCTTGTCATCAGATTGATGCCCAAATCTTCAGAAAAAGATCAAAGAATAATAGTTTTAAATCCGGAAGGAACACGTAGCAGATAAGGAAACCAAGTCCCAGGTAGATGTCAATAACACAGATAGTAAGTAGCAGAAGTAAGACATAAGCCCAAATCATCTCTCAATGCGACACTCATTCCACTGAACAACACAGCATAGGATTATTACCAACATATATGCCTTCTCAGCCTTCAACAGAAGGGCCTAGGTGGATCATTATGGGGTAATGAGAATGTAGACAAGTCCTGATTATTTAAAGAAAATTAATTGCTAAGCAAGACAATCCAGACCCTGGAGTGAGATTTCTTTTCTTTCTTGTAGGAACTGCCCTTTCTCTATTTCATGGTGTTGAAGAAAGATCAGAGACAGCAGTTCAAAAACACGTGAAAAGTAACCCCAACTCACCGATGGTGTCTAAATATTGCAGAGAGCAGAACACAAGGACAACCTAAAGGGAAAGTTCTGAAAACATGATCTCTTGAATGCCTGAGACCTTAGTGCTAATTATTAATCATAATTTGTTGACCATAGTCTTCAATGTATTATCAACTAGTCAATAAGTATTTATTAAACAACTATTATGCACCAGGTGCTGTGCTAGATACTGGAGATATAACTGACAAAAATTAAATAATCCCTGCCTTAAAGTAGCTTGCATTCTATCAAGGAAGAAAATATGGCACATGTGTAAACATATGAACAATAAATAGGAGGTAATTTGGGGAGCAAGGACACTAAGGCTGAATCACATAAAATCATATAAAATAAAATAAATTGATGTATACATCACAACTATTATCTCATTAATGGTACATTTAGGGCATTTAAATATATGGCCTGAATATGTATATATGTTGTACAAAGCATTGGCAAATGCTCATTTTTTCATAGTTGCTCCAGCCTAAAAATAACTTTAGCTTTTATGTCTTATCAGGACTTAGAGAAAAGGGACAACTCAAAGAAAAGTAGCTTGCTTGCAAGTCAGTGAGGAAATGTTTAACAGGCCTGCTGGGTGTCCTCTTAATGCTGTCTTGGACGTCTGATTAAATTATTGTGCTTTATATGCTACAGTCTTGGGTCATTTGTTCATAAAGACAAAAGCAACTTCAACTTGATATTTCTGTCATCCCTGCTGTGGGAAGAGTCCCTTTCCTGGTTTCTAACATCAATCACTCATGCCCATAAATCTTAGCTTTGGATATGGTCATTTAAATCTCCACCTGCACAAACAACAGAAAATAAGAGAGTCCATAAATCTCTATGCTGGTGATTAACAAATTTTGGGTCCACTGGCAGGGATGTTATAGTTAGGAGGGTAGAGGGGAAAGGGGGAGGAAGAAATGCACTAATTCATTAATAAAGACCGATATGCTGACAATTTGTTTAGTTTACAGCACAGGAGAAAAGCAAACAGGGCATTGCTAGCAAAACAAAACGTTAGAGGTTAGTGAATTCCCAGCTGAGCCCAGGATTTGGAGATATGATAACCTAATGTTCTTATTCTATTGAAAAAGGGATACTATCTCTGAGTCAAATGGCAAGAGGCTGCTCTGAAGACTAGGTCCAGTCCCTTCTTCTCAAAAATATGAAGAACAGATAAGACAATCATAATTTCTATTCCTTAGTTTTATTTTCTAACTTTGAATCAACTCTCTTACAAAGATTTTTTTTCTTTACCCTTAATGGGCAGAATTCACAGAGATGACTCGTTTGACATAGTACAGAATAGAATCATTTCTCCCTGCAGGGCTAGCTAGGAACTTCCATACAAATATCTTCTGACAACTTTAAGGGAGCTTTCTGACAACTTAGCATAGCTTTCTAGTCCTGAGCCAGGAAGGAAATTCACTGGCAGCACTTGGCCTCTAGGTGGAGATCATCTGTGGGTGAAGAACTCTTTATAACCCAGGAGGAGGAGTTGGGGGTTGTTGGGTTGGGAAGCAGATCAAAAAGAGTCCCTGGTCCAGGATATGTCTCAAGAACAATTAAAGAATTAATACAAATATTAAATATATTCTGTATAAGGAAACAGGTTTTAAATACAGCACATTGTGGAGGAATTCTTTGTTATTATATACTTAACCAAAATATAAATACAGTATGCCTAATAACCTAGTTTTCTGGCTCTTTTCCAGAGTGAGTGTATGTAAGTATGTATGTATGTAGGTAGGTAGGTAGGTAGGTAGGTATGCATATATGTATGTACGTGTGTGTGTCTGTGTAACCTGATGGTTTTGTGGTGTCTCTGATATCTTCCAAAGGGACTTTGTATCCAAGTATATCAGACAGCATTTACACATTCTCCTCCAAGTATATTAGACAGCATTTACATGTTCTCCTCGTCCTCACAGATTTTATTTTCCAAAGAATCATTCAAATTTTCATACAGGTATAGTCCTATTAGGATTTGTTTTTTGAAAATAAAGTGAGAAAGGGGTGTGTCTCTCTTCATTTAAACCAGGAAAACTCACATTGAAATAACACATTAAAGCCCTAGAATGTCATACTGGATCTCCAGAGGGATAAATTTGGCTTCTGGAATCTTTTTTATCAATAAATTGTTGGGGTGGGGTTTTGTTGGAATTTGGGGGTCTAAGGGGGAGTACACTGTTCAGATTTGGGAGAGGAAGGGAGGGAACAATGGGAGAGTGTATTCTGGAAGATCCCTTTTCCCAAAGCTGCCAAGAAGACCCCTGAGGTCCTTCCCAGTCTTAAAATCTGTCTATGCTCTATGAATCCTTATGCATCTGGAAGGAAAAGAGGCCACTAGAAGAGTGGGTAGTTGATAGCCACTAGAAGGGGAAGAGACAAGGAAGTATCTAGGAATGACTGCTGTCTGCTTCAGTGGAGATGATTTAAAAGACAAGTTGCCTTTGTGTGATCCCCTCCTGTTGTGTATTGGGTTTGTAAGTGTGGTTGTGGCTGAGGCTGGGCCCCTCCCCTGGGCTGCTAGGATCCGCCTCTCTATTCCCCAGATAAATTACTAGTGTCCACCAAATTCCTCAGCTCTCTCTCTCTGTCTCACACTCCACTTACAGGTCACCGTCTACAGGGGGTGGGGGACAGCCTTGTCCTCTTCACCACAAGAACACTCACAAGCCCCCTTCCAAAAGCACTAAGAAAAAGGAAGGGGGTGGGACCCCAAATAGCACCCCAAACCCTTTCCATCCTTCTGTTTCTACTGTGCACTTCGAAAAGACCTCTCTCTCTCTCTCTCTCCTCTCTCTCTCTCTCTCTCTCTCTCTCTCTCTCTCTCTCTCTCTCTTCTCCTCTTCTCTTCCTCCTTTCCCTCTCTCCCATTCTTTCTCTGTTCCCTCTCCCTCAAACCATGTCCACTGGCTCCCTCAGTGATGTGGAAGATCTTCAGGAGGTGGAAATGTTGGAATGCGACAGCCTGAAAATGGATTCTAACAAGGAATTTGGGACTTCAAATGAAAGCAACGAAGAGAGTTCTAACTGCGAACATGGGTCTCCCCAAAAGGGCAGGGGTGGCTCTGGCAAGAGGAGGAAAGCACCGACCAAGAAGAACCCTCTGAACGGGGTCAGCCAGGAAGGGAAGCAAGTTCAGCGAAATGCGGCCAATGCCAGGGAGCGGGCCAGGATGCGGGTCCTAAGCAAGGCTTTCTCCAGGCTCAAGACTACCTTGCCCTGGGTCCCTCCGGACACCAAGCTCTCCAAACTGGACACTCTGAGACTGGCGTCCAGTTATATCGCTCACCTGAGGCAGATCCTGGCCAATGACAAGTACGAAAACGGTTACATCCATCCCGTCAATCTGGTAAGTTACTGCTTCAAGTCTCTCCAACAGCCCTCTGACCAACCCAATTCCCTTTTCCTCCCTCTGCCTTCCCCCCTCCAACTCCCAGCTCACACATATGCATGGGCACACCCGGTGCATATGGGAGTGTATGTGTGATCACTTACACACCAGCAAGTGGGGCAATCATCGAGATACTTCCTGAGTCAGGGACCTTTCCTGAAACACTGGCCTAACGCTCCAGTTGTCTGTCCTCTCTCCTTCAGCCTTGGTGCAACCTCACAGGGCCTCTTCACTCCCCTCCCAACCCACGTAGCTTAGTTGATTTATACCGCCGTTTAACGTGGCAGTCCAATTAGGGGTTTGCAAGTCTATTAATCTAGTGAAGGGGAGGGAGCCTCAGCTTCAGTGAAGGCCAGGAGCAGAGGGGTTAGCCTCAGACATGGGGGAAGATTGGCAAGAAGCTTAGGGAGAGGTCAGACGCCCAGGGGAGGTTTCCCCCTACAAAACTGGAGAGGATTCCCTCGTATCTATCTCTCTGTCCCCCAGTTAAATCCACTATAAAGTTTCTGTCTGCCTTTGTATATTTACTTTCATAATGATTCTTTTAAGAAATATTTTTTTCTTATATCGAGTATCCCCAAACCTTGCTTCATGAGATTTGATTCTTAAAAATGAAAATTAAATAGCATATGTCTTTACCAAGTGTGGGTACTCTGAGATGTCTGCACACCAGCAGCCAGGTATCTGGGACCACACATTCTTCAGCCTCCAAAAACAGACAACTTATCGTTTTATTCCTGTTTCAAAATTCCAACAGCTCTCACCAGTGCAGCCCAATCAAAAATGTGATTCTCCCTGAGAACATAGGACCTTTTTGGCTTCTAAATAAAGATTAAAAACAAAATACTATTTGAAAAAACAAATGTTTGACTAAACTCTGTTTTCCTCACTTCTGTTGTGCGTTTAGGGAAAGTGCTCAGATTCTGTTATTTTGTAATAAATTTGCTTATTTTAAAACTTCCAGACTCTAAAGAAAGAGAATAAACAACTTGGTATCTTCTCTGTTTTTCTATGATAAGAATGTGAGATTTTCCTCCGAAAATCGGTTTCTTATCAGTCTGCATTCATTAAGAGAGGATTCTTCTTCAGGAAGCATAGATAGCACTGCAGTTTCATGACTCTGAGCCTTGAGCTTGGAGTGAGGGAAAGAATTTTACTTGCCTGAATATCTTTCAACTAAAAGTTCATTTTTTAAAAATTTTTAAAAAAACTAGAAAATCAGTTTAAATTCTCTGAGTAAAATGAGAGCATTGGTATTGCAACTACAACTGAAGTTTTCCTGTGATACTAATCTCAAGCGAGTTTTGATTATAAATCAGAAGAGGGAGGAAAGAGGAGAAAGCGATTTTCCCCTAGCTCATGTCGGAGTTTTCTCTTTATTTATCATCATAGCTGTTATTGTTCTCATTTAGGACTAAACTCACAAAAAAACAATCGTTGGCAAATATTTCTAAGAGATGCATAAAACAGGAGTCAGATTTCTGAGAATGGATGGCTGATTTATAACAAGATAGCTAAAACTCTGTTAACAGATAATAAGTGGAGGGGAGAAGCAAGTATCTCATGAGAAGGATGTAAAGAAAACCAACATTTTTGTTCAAAAATAAGCCTAATCATTTTCAGATTTTGCTCATGTCTACCCTCCTTTCCTTTTCCTTTCTTCTACTTTCCCTTTCCACTTCTCTGATTTGATTACAAAATTTTTAATAGAGAGTGAGGAGAGAGACAGAGACTGAGACAGAGAGAGAGGGCGGGAGGGAGGGAGAGAGAGAGAGAGAGAGAGAGAGAAGAGAGAGAGAGAGAGAAGAGAGAGAGAGAGAGAGAGAGAGAGAAACCATGGTGCTGTGGGATATTTTTACTTACACCTCGAACTTGTACCCGTAAATAACTCTCTGCCTCCCTTTTTCTAATCACCACCCCCACTCCCAATCACATACCCCAATACTTCACTATCATCTGCCCTTCTGCAACCTCCATCTTTTCCCTTACTGCAGACTTGGCCCTTTATGGTGGCTGGAAAACCAGAGAGTGACCTGAAAGAAGTGGTCAATGCAACCCGCTTGTGTGGAACAACAGCATCCTGACCAAGGAGCTGCGACCCTGGGAAAAGACTTTCTACTGGAGGGATCTGGGACCAGGAAAGCCGTCCATGCTCTCCTTCTCCCTCCCTCTTCTCTCCCCCTCCTCCCTGCCACTACCCATCCCTTCTCCTAAGGAACACTTTATAGCGACGAGGAGATTCATTTCCAGACCAAAGAGGAGACCAAATGTACATTTAAATTTTCCCATCTATTTAACTTTATAAACATGTACAATGAATGAGTGACTCCCCAAGCCTTGCTGGTTCAAGTGCAATATATAAATATGAATATATAAATATATAATAAAACCTATCATGTGTATCTTTTGTACAATATGTTGTGGAAATGTAGATGATAGAATAGCTGACTTTGATAGTCGCATCTATAAAATAATTCACTTCAAAAGATATATATTTTTCTTCAGAATGGTTTTGCTACTTCTGTGAATAAATCTTTCTTTATATTGCAAAAGAAGACCTTCATATTGGTGTATTTATTTCTTTCATAAGGTAAAGGGGGAGGAGTACAAGAACTAAGGGCTTTATGGACTTATAGGAAGAAGGCTTATCTGTAGATGAAGTACTTCTATTTTTCAGGTCTTCTAAAGTCCAAACCAAATTTTGACAGCATGTCACAACAGTGAGAATTGTCTGATACAGGTTGGTGAGATGGTCATCTTCTACTATGAACTTGTAGGCCATATTTTGTTATTGTTGTTTTCATTAAGATTTTGCACTTCCAAATAATAATAGTTATTATTATTATTATTATCATCATCATCATCATCATCATCATCATCATCATCATCATCATCATCATCATCATCATCATCATCATCATCATCATTATTATTATCTGGTCTGTTTTCTTTTAAAGGAGCAAAACACCCAAAAGGAAAACTTCTCCAGAGACCCTGCAGTAACAGTAAACAGGGAGAATGAAGTTAACTTCAGTGGAGTCAGTAGGTAGATGATGGTGTGAGGGGTAAAATACATTAGAGAAGGGGGAGTAGGGCTGGAGGTGGGGAGAGAGAAGTGATAATTTTTTCAGGATTTTGCAATTCTATCGATCACTTTGGCATGACTGAATTTCAGCTCATATCAGTTTTCAGGTGCTGACAAGAAATTACCAACCTACATTTCCATTCCAGGAGAAGAATAGGAAGGAACAAAGAACACAAAAACTCAAAAATTCTGAACTCTTTCCATTAAGGGCCTCTCTACTCTCTCCCCACATTTTCTTCAGTTCAGCTGTCAATATTTCTAGGATTATTGAACTTGTATGGACACACTGGAGTTGGGGATTGTAGAGGGAGTTCCCCACTTTCCAAGAACTTCCGGCTGTCTTGGGTTTTAATTTAAACATCTTCTAGTCTATTGATCAGCTTGTCTGTGGGAGATTAAAGTGAGATAAACAGAGAAATGAGCCCAAGAAGCACGGGACTGGGCTCCCTCTACTGCCCCATTGGAGACCAGAGGCGGCTGATGCGCCAGATCCCACCGGGGCTGTTTAATTTTTCAGGGTTATGACCGCACTGTTTACAAGATGTCTTTGGTTATTTATACTGTTATTGCTAGCAGAGGGGCTTTAAATTTCCGCTTCACTTGCTCTTTTCGATGGGGGGGGGGCCTAACGGGGGCGGGTACCTGGGTTGAGAGATTTTACCCAACCCCCTTCCTCTCCACCCTCTCCTCACCCCCCCCCTTTCCAGAAACAGAAGAGAAGTTCTGTGATATTTCTGACGGTCTGAGTTCAGGGGTCTCCAGCTTGGCCAATGCGGAATGAACATGGAATGCATACTATGTAGGAAGAATTCTGCACCAGTACGTATTGCTTCCAAAGCTGGTTACAGCCCCAACAAATAGCAACTTAACTTATGCTGGGGAAGGAGAGAGGGAAAAGCAGAGACCATCTTAAGACGCTCACTTTGCTCCTTTTCTTTTACCGGCCTAAGAGGTTTGTTTTGCTTTTCTCCCAAGATGATCTTACTCTTTTTCTCCAACTTTCTCCTTCAGCGAGTACTTCACCTGCTCCAGCTGCCTCTTCTTGCAGGTGCATCAGCTACAAGCCTGAAACACGTCTGCCTAGCAAGTGGGTAATGAAATCAGTGCGTAGTTTGTCTTTCATGTGTCTTAAAGTCTCTGGTCTCACTTGAGTGTCGACCTAGAAAATGACCTTACAAACCACGTAACAACATAACTGCGACCAAAACGGCATTTTCAGTTAACTAAGACTCTCAGGCAGAGGGGAAGCCCAAAGCTGCAAACCTAGTCGATTTTTACTAGGAACAAGAAAAAGGCAGCCCCCTCCCTTTTTATTATATTAGTAGTATGCGAGTATACTACTGATAATACTAATCACTAGAGCACAATGATCCCCAAATCCAGGCATCCTATTTCTAAAAACAAATTCGAAGAGGGGAATAGTAGAGACGGATAGTTCAGACCTAAAGGCCACTCTTCCGAAGCAAGGGAGTGCTCCCCGGATTTGGAACTTTTTTTTTTCAGTCAGTTACTGGTCAAAAAAACCAGCTTTTGAGAAAACTGCTGGAGAAAGCGCCTCTGTCCTGAAGAGGAATTGAGGCAGACAAAGCTAAATGTACCCTATCTTTGACCAAGTCATTTCTGCATCAGATACACTCAAACCACCTTACATGGTTTTCCTAGTTATGTCCACATTCCCAGACAGCACTTTCTTTACAGTATCCCTTGTCCAAGTGGCACCAAGGAATGGCAGAGTTAGACCTCAAACCCAGCAGGGCTGATGCTTAGGCCAGGACCTTTGCCCCAGACTTGAGCTTCCTCTCAGAATCCACAAAGCTTTCAGAAGAGACTGTGTTTTGTAGTAAATAGGGTAAGGACTTCAAATATGTCAAACCTGGATTTGCATCCCTCCTCTATCTTTACCAGGTGCTATACAATGTTGGGCAAGTCACTTAAATTTTAGGAGACTAGGTTCCTTTATCTGTGGGATGAAGATGACTATAAAATCACCTACTTCACAAGGTTGTAGAGTGACCTCATACATGGGAAGCACTTGAAGCATTGTATTAGTGTCATCTATTATTATTCTAGATGGAAAGTAAATGAAGGAATTTTCTGGCCAGTCTGGGATCACTAGAAATAAAAAGTAACTAAAAGACTCAAAGCAGCATTAAAGAAAATGGGCAAACTCCCAGTTTTGACTTCTTAACTGTCCTTTTCCAATGACCCTACCTAGGCAGACAGTTTGGACTTGGGCCACCAATGACCCTGCACTCCTAAATGAACCATAGACAATCCTCAGTGGTGCTCTAGCTACTACTCCCTCATTTTATCCTTTTTCTTTCCTCCCCTTACTCACCTCCTACTCTAAACCTTCATTTTTTTTAACCTTTTCTTGCTTCCTTCAGTCTTTTTCCCCCCAAACATCCTCATCCTTTTCTGATAACCTAAGGCCAAAATTGGTTCCTTTATTTTATAGGTCTTTGAGTCCTTGTGATCCAAAGAGGCCTGACTCAAGGCTGGGATTTGTTCATTGCTGGCTTTGCCTGGTTTGAGGAGATTGGAGGATTACTTGAGAAGGAATCATCAATACTGGCCATCAGAAAGAGTTGCCAGTTCCAAGAGAAGTGCCAACTACACACAAGAAGGAAATTAACACGTCTTTTTAAAAAAATGGAAAGGAGACAAAACAACTTCAACAGCATCTGTAAAGGGAAGGAGGTGTCTCAAATAAATATGTCTGCAGGATTTTTAAAAGTCCCATCCCACATACTAACAGTGAAGCTGAGCTATAGCTTATGTTCAACTCTGACACTTATCTCCCTGACTGCCGATCTGACTTTTACTAGCAACCATCCATGTGCTTGTCAAAGGCTTCCCCACTGTTTGTCAAACAACTCACTTACTACCAAACTAAACAGAAGAGGAAGATATAAGCAAAGTCCCCACTTTACCCTTGTAGTTAATGATCTGTGGGGAAATCTGGGCAGAAGACAACTAAGATATGTTTCTTGGGGACAGAAAAAGGGAAGGAAAAGGGAGAGGAAACTATCTTCAGCTGTTTTCCAAAAGATAACTATAATATATTCTTAATAATATAAATAATAGGTTTTGTGCTTTAAAATTTACACTATGCTTCCTCTCTGCAACACTGTGATGTAGGTAGACAGATTCAGTGACTTCACAGAACTAGTCAATGTCTGAGCCCACATAGGAACCCAGGTCTTCAATCTCTAAGAAAAAGGTTCTTGTCATTACACTCCACTAACAGCCCATCGACAGTCAAGAAGTAAGCAAATTGGACTTCTCTTCAGTCCACCCAGAAATGCACTACTTGGAAGGATGTTGAATCTCATTCAGTGCCAGATGCAAACCATTCATGCCTTCCTTTCCTGGTAGATCATCCATGTCTTTGCTTAAACACTGTTTAGAAGATCATTCTCTGAGCACTGGAGGCCTTTCTCTTGTTCTTTTATATCTCTAGCACACCAGTGTAGCACTTGAGCTGTCCATCTATTCTATCTTTCATTCTAGGTAGATAGCCAGTCCTGCTCTTCTTTTAGGTACACAGCTCCTCCGTGGTGTCTTTTATAATTTTAGTCCAAAGTGTACTTTAATTACACAGTTTTCTAATTCCATAACTAAAACAGGGGAGGGGAGCCGAATGGGATGGAAAAAGGGGATAGGGAAGATCATTCTTAATACTGCATGAGATAAAGGCCAACAGACACATGAAGCAGCACATGTGGAAACAGAGAAACATGTATGAGAGGGTCGGGAGAGTCTATCACTGGCCCTGCTTGCTGGGGACCCACGGGTAGGTCAGGAAGCTTCTTAACTCTGCTCTATGACTCAAAGACTCTTGTGTTGTAAATTGGATTTGGTCTCCAGTATGCCTGGTCTCTTTTGCAAACCAAACGAACTAAAGCTACGAAGCCAAGCACATTTAGTGCTGGCTTACTTGCATTTGTTTGCTGTTTCGGGGTAATGCGACTCCGGTTCCTGGGAGGTCCGACCTGAGGTCAGCTATCCAAGGAGAATTTTTCAAGAGTTCAAGCTGCATTCTCAGTGAGGTGGGGAATACTGAAGCCAGGATGAGAACTAGGAGGAGCCGCTGCCGCCCTTAAGAAAATAAGAAGGGCCGTCTGCTCTTTTGTGGCTGAGTTTTACTGTACTCAGGAGTGCTGGTGATTTGAGAAAGAGAAAGGAATCAGCTACAGTCTGCTCCCCAAGATGAAACATTCTACTAGTCTAACTGAACTGCGTTTTAGATTTCTGTCCCATTCCACACTCATCCTTTGGGTCACCCAAGATATAAGTAAGCCTGAGGGCTCTGTTGACACTGGAAACAACAGGAGGGTGAAGGTTCTCCATTTAGTGACCACTCAAAACCCTGGGGGCAGGATGGGAAGAGACTGAATCAGATAAAGCCAAGGTCTCTAAAATCATTCTAGATTCTCCATTTCTGAATCATCCTCTTCAAACACTTCATT